CTTAATTGCAAATAGAAAAAAATAGTCACTCAGAAATGTAACATGTATATAGGTTAAGCTTGAATACTTCTGAATTTTGAAAAATTTTGGTGTCGAAAGATGCAGTTAGAAATTTCGTGGCAATAATAAAAATTGTTGCCATTTAAATATATTGCTTACATTATTATTATCAAACACGACAATTATTTTATACAATCGATAAAATAATAGAAATTATGGATATATAAAAAATCAGATAAAAAAATAACGAAAGATCTTTTTATTATAAAATTAATAATTTTATTATCAATTGTATTGTCTTACTAGAATCTTTGAATTATTTCCTATATTAGTAAGCAATTTAAAAAATTTAAAATTGTATTGCATCATCGCGTAGGTTCACAGGAAAACTGATTCTATGATCAAAGCGAAATTGCTTTCGAAGCTTTCGATGGCAAATAACGAGATAAATATCAGAGGCTCGAATTCACGTCCGAGGTTCTATGGTACTTTTCTACATGACACTTTTATATATAAAAAATATGATCGCGACTGTATTTTAAAACAATTTTTCCATCTTTGAGCTTCCTGACAGCATCACATAAACATACCTTTAAGGAGATCCTAAATGTCCTTGAGAAGTCTGTCCTAGGAAGAAATGATAGATGAATCGACGTCGATTCAATGTCGAATTAGTCGAATCGATATTGATTCGACCAATTATTTCTCACTAGGGTGGTTCAATTCTGTTTTATCGACAAAATGTGAGGTTAGATAAACTATAAATCTATTTATTGGTTATACGGGTTGTTTTTTACCTGAAATTAGAGCGCTTCGCACTTTGTTAATATTAATACTTTAATTTGTACAGGAAAAAGATTTATCAATTTGTATAGTCTCATATATCTAGGTTGCAAAATTATGAAGAAAAAGAGTTCATAGTTCTGCAACCTAGATATAGAGATTATACAGATTGATAAATCTTTTTCCTGTACAAATTAAAGGATTAATATTAACAAATAGGGAAGCGCTCTAATTTCGGGTAACAAACAATTCGTATATCCAATCAATAGATTTATAATTGATCTAACTCACATTTTGTCCATAAAACAGGACTGAAACCACAGATTTCTCAAGAACGTTTAGGATCTCCTTAAATACTAAAGAAACTATTATTTACAGCAGACCCAAAATCATAAACAACGCGCGTGCACATACACACGCACACTCACACCGTTTTTTGTTGTTGTCACAGACTAATCTTAATTCTTGATGTTTAACGCGATGTTATGGATTTCTGAACACTACCTTATTGTATTTTTTCTTGCTTTTTGACACTTCTCCAACAATATCTTCCTCTTCGTCTCTCTCTCCCTCCCACTTTTTCTTTTTTTCTTTTCTTTCCTTATTTTTATATCATCCACCTTGGTCGCCAACTGATGTTCACTTATGCACAATTATAACAACCAATTGGAGATGAAACTATGCTTGTTTATTTGTTCTTTTTTGTTTTGTGTGTTTGCTTTTCGCAATTTTCTAAAATATTGCACGCTTCATCATTAGTTTTTCACTAAATTTTAATCCAAATGGAGAGATTACGATAGTAAGGATAGAAAGAAGGAAATCAAATTTTTTGACAGCATATGCACAAAGTAACCGCAATGAAAAATTCTTTCGTATATTTTCTTCAAATAATGAAACAAAAAGATTATATTAAACAGGGATGGGATTAAATTTATTATGTATTTAAAAATCCAATTAAAAGTTGAATGCACAATCAAGTTTTATTTTCTAAAATTAAAATAATATACTCGATTAAAATAATAAAAGAAATAATATTTTATATATTGTACTTGCGAAATAATCGTATCTAAAAAAATTATATTCAAATTTTAAATTATAAAGTTCGAAATGTATTTATAAATACCTACTTTTGTAAGAATCAAATTTTTCACAAGTAGTATGTATTTAAAGTTTAAAAATTAAAACATTTTATTTTTTGTGTAATATATTATTATATATTAAAATATTTATTAAATATTTTTTATTTGTTACTTTTTTGCTTGTAAGTTTGAATTATAAATAATAATTATAATAAAAACAGTAGGTTTTGCTTTATATAAACATTTTGATTCAGATTAACGTAAAATTTGTAAATACTCATGAAAAATTTGTATATACTTGGTTCAGGTTCGAGTGTACTTAAATTTTTTTAAGCAATCATAAAAAGTTCGAAGCGTAGCAAACAAATTTGAACTTATTTGTAAGATATTTAATCCCATTACTAATATTAAGTATAAAAAAATTCAGGTAAACTAATGAAAGCCAAGCTTCTTAAGTTGTTGCAATTAAATTATCTAATAGAAATCTGTAATTATATTAAATGTTTTGATTCTTTGGACAAGCTTTAACAAATCCAAATAAGAAAATCATTTTTGATATCTCACTTCGAGATCATTAATATTTCGCGCAAAACAATAACTTATAATTTGTATAAAGGACTTTTTCTATCAACACAATAATTTTCCGCAAATTATTAAGTCTGCAAATCGATAATCGTATAAGTAAGAACACAGCTTTATTTTAATTCTCACTGTATATTAATTATAAAAAATATGTGTGTGAAAAGATATAGAAAAAAACTAACAATATATTTTACTTATCGGATTCTTACTTGACACTTCATTAAGATTTAAAGCAACTCGCATTAAAAATCCATTTCATGATAAAAATTTTGTGTGAAAATATAAAGCACAATTGGAAATTGAATTTAAATAGACATAAACATATTTTTGAAAACATCTTCTAAAATATTGCACACTTCTTAAAAACTACTGATAATGACAGAATTGCTCTTTTAACTTTTTATTGAATTTATAAATAATTTATATATTATATTTATAGATATATATTTGAATAAGTAACAATATAAAATTAAAAATTATATTGTTAATATTCTGCGGTTCCACTATATTAGCAATATTTACAATATTATGCCACATCTTATTATCTATTTGCGTTATTTAAATTATTATTTATTACTAATACAATAACATCAAATACAATGAAGAATTTATAACGATATCACGAAGTCCGATCACCGCTATATTGGAATTTATATGTTTTTAATTAATGAAATTTTAAAGAAGAATTTATCTCAAGAGGCAATGTGGAAAAATGAAACTAATCTATGTATCACTTCTATTTCTTCAATCTATATATTTACATTTGCCTTGGTAATGTAGCCATTTATTTATTTCTTATAAGTATATACTTGTTAATCTATTAATATAAATGATTGATATGAAAAATCACTCAATAATTTATTTTTCAATTAAAGATTAACATTATTGATACGGTAAATTGATTGTAATATATGTATACGAGGGTCACTATTTATATTTCGGGAATTGGCAACACTGATGTCATGTGAGTCCATCTGACGGTTCCATCGTAAAGTTTGACATTTTTGACGATATACGTACTCAGAACATTTTGTCATACGGACGCTATTTGTTTATTTTATATTTAGTTGAAAGTTTCGTCTCGGCAAAAAATGGAACTGAATCGTGAACATTTTCGTGCGATGATTTTTTACGACTTTCGACGTGGATTATCACAACAAGAGTGCGACAATCAACTTAATTTGACTTTTGGCGATGAAGCTCCATCAAAAACCACTGTGTATCGCTGGTATAGTGAATTCAATCGTGGTCGTAGTTCGCTGTCCGACGAGTTTCGTGAAGGTCGTCCAAAATCGACTGTAGTGCCAGAAAACATCAATGCTGTGCACGAAATGATTAAGCAAGATCGTCATGTAACCTATTGTGAGATTGAGGCATCTCTAAGCATTAGTTCCACCAGCATATATGCGATTTTACATGAACACTTAGCTGTGCAAAAGTTATGTTCGCGTTGGATCCCACATAATTTGACAATCGCTCAAAAAAAGGCTCGTGTCGATTGGTGCAAAGAAATGCTTAAGAAATACAATCGCGGTGCTTCAAAAGACGTTTATAAAATCGTGACAGGTGACGAATCATGGATATATTCGTATGAGCCCGAAAGTAAGCAGCAGTCGACTGTATGGGTGTTCCAAGATGAACCAAATCCAACAAAAGTTGTTCGCGCACGAAGCACTTCAAAGAAAATGGTGGCCTGTTTCTTCGGAAAAACTGGTCATATTGCAACAGTGCCTCTAGAGGATCGTAGAACAGTAAATTCTGAGTGGTACACAACCATCTGTTTGCCAGAAATCTTCGGTGAAATAAGGAAAACAAACAAGAGACGTCGGATTGTTCTTCATCATGACAATGCGAGCTCTCACACATCGGCTCAAACAAGAGACTATTTGAGCACTCAAAACATCGAATTGATGGGTCATCCGCCGTACAGCCCTGATTTGGCACCCAATGATTTCTTTTTGTTCCCATCCGTGAAGAATAAACTGCGTCAACGATTTTCATCGCCCGAAGAAGCTATTGAAGCGTTCAAAAATCATGTTTTGGAGATACCTCATTCGGAATGGAATAAATGCTTTGAAAATTGGTTTAAGCGCATGCAAAAGTGTATCGATCATCGAGGCGAGTACTTTGAAAAACAATAAAAATATATTCGCAGCTTAACTATTTGTTTTTGTTCCTATTCCCGAAATATAAATAGTGACCCTTGTATAATATAAATTAGAATTTATATGTATAAATTATATAAAATTCTATGAAATCCATTACAAAATTTTTCTCGTTTATAATATTCACAAATATAAAATTTATATATATGTATGCTTTAAAAAATAGATATTTGGCCTCACAGAAAGTTTATATTTTATGCAACGTGCACTTTTTTGATAAAGAAGCGATATTATTAACATTACGTGTCAATATTAGAGCAAAAATATGAGCTTCTCTTGTTATGCGTGGCTTTATTCGATATATCTCCTACAATTATACGTTAGGCATTATACATATAATAATAAACTGTCGCATATTCGTATACGTGATGTATGTATGTATGTTGTACAGAGGATAAGAAGGGCGGCGTCGACCGGAGCAGCACGGTCATTGCCAAAGAACCCGAAGGTAAAGTCAATTCTCGAGATTCAGAAATGTTTCGACGTTACTTTTTCTGTATGTTACATATGTAATTAGCGTATGTGTGTGTGTATATATGTATATATGTATGTATCTGTGTGTATGCGTATGCGCGCGCGTGTGTACGACTATATTACATATGTAACTGTACATATATATAGTGTAGCATATATATTATAATTTGTGTCCATGATTTATATAACCTAATCTTTCAAGATGAGCCTGAAGCCGTTTTGTTTTACCGACAATAATTTTTGTGCATGCCTTTTTTATGGTTGCATAATATATGCTTTTTCACGATTAGTGAAAATCACGGGCTATTCTATTTAACCAATAAAGAGAAAAGCATGCATAAAATTGATCGTTTTGTCGGTAAAACAGAATAGCTTCAGAATCACCTTAATGAGAATTAAAAAGTGAACCATTTCTTTCTATAATGCTTACAAATGCTAACAAAAGAGCAATTATTAAATGTCACTTTATCAACACCAATTGTTTTAGGCAGACTTATATCTATGATTCATGAGCCGGATTAAATGTAGTTATGCCCACATTCGATGCACGATTCATAAACATATGTTCGCCTAAAAACGATATTCATTAGGTGACTTTTATTTAATTATTTCTCTTTCGTTAAGGATTGCAAAAAATAATTCAAAATGTTCCGATTTATTTTTCATTCAGGAATAATGCTATGTAATTTGTAAGCACAAATTATAATATATTTTGTACATATATATGTATATACAATATATGTATTTATATACATATATCTAGTTTGCATTATTTTGTGGACGTCCCGCGATCGGCATTGGCTTATCTCCCATTCGCGCTTTTAATCTTTTAAATTTCTAATAAGAGATATATGACTAATCATTTCCATTTCTTTTAAACATATCCATTTCTAAAAAAGGCATATGTAAAGTCGATAATCGCATTTCTCGAAGTTTATTATTGTCGCTTTTCCACGATGCTAATTAGCTGTCGTGTTATATTCGTAGCATTGAGCGTCATCACGAGGGTTATTAACAATTAGTAGAGTTCAAAATAAAATTAAATAAAATTAAATAAAATCATTAGCCGAAATCAGACAATTGCGCGCGTTTGTGTTGTCTAGTCATTAAAAGTTAGAGAAAAAATGTAACCAAACATAAGCCGCGTCTTGCAAAAATCCGAAATTAGATGGAATTATATGAAAAACATTTATGCACGAAATTTGTAAAATACATATTAACAATGATAATATGTATTCAGTATTGTAACTAATAAATTTCACTAAATATTTACATAAAAATTGACATACACAGAGTCATATGAATTTAATTTACGTAATACGATTTACATAATATTCAATCAATATAAACTTGTGAATGTATACATTTATCATCATAAATCAATATAATCACATTTTGCAATTTACACTACTTTACAAAATTAAAGAATGGAATTTAGACGCAGCAATGTATATCGCATAGATGATGTATATTGCTTAAAAATTAAATATTAATGTTAAATAACAAAATTTAATTACTGACCTTAGAATTAACAACAAATAATGACATTAACTTGCACAATACAAATTATTCTTTTATGACATACATAATGGCATATCGTTGTGGTGGTCCTTCTTATATTCCCGCGTGGGTATATTTCACTCATTGATTTCGCGCCCGCGCTGTGCCGCATAGCGGCGGTGCTCGCTACTACCCGTACTAATGGTGCGTCCGCGCTACATGTTTTCTCGGGAAAATAATTTACGTAGTTGATCGTCACATTAAGTATAAATTAAAGATTTGTACTCGACGGAACACTAAAGGTGACAACAAACTTTTCAACTATGATTTTAACTCACGATTTTTGAATATATATAATTTATCCAAGATTTGAAAATGACCTAAATCAAAGGTCGAAACGTCGTCTGTATGACAAAAAGTTAATAAAGATCAATTTGCCAGTTTAGTCGATATACATATATAAACACGTTGATAAATTAAAGACGTAGACGGGGAAAAAACTTTGTTCCTCAGAAAAAAAGTATTAATTTAACCTAATTCAAACTTATTTCTGATTTTAAATTAAAGTTAGGTTTAAGTTAGAATTTTTTTTCTTTAGGGTTAGGAATGCAAGAGAAGAGATATCACTAATGTTTTATTGCCTACACATGCGCGTTTATTTGAATAGCTATCTTATATATTTTAATAAATATATTTAATAAAGTATATATTGATGAGGTACATAAAATATTTATTTTATGAATCATTTATAAAAAGATATATTTCTGCCATAATGTTAAAAAATTGATCAATACGTTTATCAAAAATAAATTGACGCTTGAATAAATATTTTGTTAAATATGTAGCATTATTTTTTACGGTTATATTAATATCCCGCATGAAAAAAAAATTACAAGAATACGAAAAAATTACTGATATAATAATAGTTCTTCAATAATAAGGTTATATTATTATAGTATACCAATAATTTTTTCGTATTCTTGTAGTTTTTTTTGTAAAGGATGAGTTATTAAAAAGAAATATTGAGTGAGAATTTAATAAATTATAAAAATATGTATAATAAACTGACACGACGTTTCGGCCTTTGGTTTAGGCCCTTTTTGAGTGATCTTTTATAAAACACGTGAGATGACAAAGAAGGTGATAACACATAGTAAAAACTTGAGAATCGTCAAGTAATTATAAATATAATTTATTAAATAAATTATAATTGTTGTAAAAATCGCATGAGTTCAACTTAATAAAAATATGTACAATAAACCGACTTATTTGGCAAACAGTTATTTATTAATAATAGTACACGGCGTATCGGCCTTTATTGGTTTAGGCCCTTTTCGAGTAATCTTTTATAAAATACCTGAGATGACAAAGAAGATGATAACACATAGTAAAAACTTGAGAATCGTCAAGTGTAGATATTATACACAGTCTTGGCACTTATTTTTAGAGAGTGTCACGGATAGAAGTACATAGACGATTGATAGTACATAGGTTGTTCTTAATAGAGAGAACAAAACATTTTTATTTCCGATACATCTACAAAATCGTTTGTCTCAATTCGATTTTAATTGAATATCTAACTTCAGAATATTCATGAGTAATAATCACAGACAAAAGATCATCGCGAATGGGGGATGCCGATTTTGCAAGAGGCTGCACGTTGATTTGCAAGCCTAAAGTTTCACATGTTTTTCTGTTGCTGCTTTTGCGAAATTATACAGATTTACCGTTTCTCTTCTCGTTTTATCGATTAATATTTCGGATTAAATTTCTTGTCTTTTTTTTCTTCCTCTTTCTCTTTTTTCTTTTCTTCTGCGTACATTGATCTTACTCTAATCAGGCTGAAATTAATCCTACAGTCTAGAACAAGGATCCTCCTATGCCCTCTCTTGACGCTGCGTGATTGTGAAAACTGCATCACGTAGCTGATGCATCTAAATATTATCTGGCGAATTATCGTGATTGACACTACTCAAACTAATCCTTGAATTTGAATCATATTACATCAGGATGATTTCGAATCGCTGTGTGTTTAGATTTGTATCTAATCAAATCACGATAAGCTATTAATGTAATCTATTATTAACACAATACATACATATTTTTTGTTTTATTCTAATTATTTTTATATCTTATTTATGACTATAAAGCATTTGGTTCTTATTGTGAGAAGCAATAAGGATCTTATATTATTTAAACTGATAATAAGTAATAATAAATTATATTGTTAATAAAATCAAATATGAGACCAATTTACGAGCAAAGAATTGGGTGTCATAAAAATTATAATACTAAGAAGTGTTTGATCATTTAATAATGTCTACTCAATAAAATACAAATAACAAACGTTTCGACTTACTTAGTCTGCCTCAGTATTAACCATATAATAAAAAAATCATTACGAGAACATATTAAAATCCATTAAAATGAAAAATTAATTACAAGAGCATAAAAAAACTGTAAATTCAACGATAGTAACAAAGAATCGGAAAAATCAATCGCATTGCTAAAGGTACGCTGGTTCGAAACACTATTCGTATTAATCGCATTAAGTTATTTAATTCAGATCGCAAAATGAACCCAGTCATCATTCAAAAATAATGTCTAGTATAATTTAGCAAGTGCATTTTGTCATGGTCAAAAAGCAATTTCATCGTGAAACGGCGAGAAGTTGGTGTGTATGAAGTTAGCCCCCCCTTTTTTTAATTTTTAATGTTTTTATAGTTGTTCCAAATTGTTCTATGTTTGTTCTACATTGTTCCAAAGTTATAATCGAGAATACTGTAATTCTAAAGCGAGAAGCCTGGAACAACTCTTTAACTCATTAAAATAAAAAAATAATATTTTTTGACCAAGAGTAAAGTAGACCTAATATTGATGTTCTGGTCTCTAAATTTTTGTTCTGAGTTGTTCTAATCGAGAATATTGTAATTCTAAAGCGGCAGGCCTGGAACAATTCTTTAATCCTTTAATTAAAATTGAAAAAGAAATGTTTTTCGATCAAGAGTAAAGTAGGTCTAATATTGATGTTCTCGTCGTAATAATTTTGTTCTAAGTTGTTCTAGTCGAGGACACTTTAGTTCTCAAGCGAGAAGCCTGGAACAAGTTTTTTACCCGAGAAAATAAAAACAATTAATTTTTTGATCAAGAGTAAAGTGGGCCTTATATTGTCGTTCTCGTCGTAATAATTTTATTCTGAGTTGTTCTAGTCGAGAACACTTCAATTCTTAAGCGAGAAGCCTGGAACAAGTCCTTTACCCAATGAAATCGAGAAATAAAATTTTCCGATCAAGAGTAAAGTGGGCCTAATATTGGTATATTGGTCTCCAAGTTTTTGTTCTGAGTTGTTCTACACGATTATAAACATAATCTAAATCGACAATACTGTAAGTTATTATGTTTCTGAATTAATGGCAAAAACCGATTTTTTTTATTTTTCGTTTTTTTAATATCTTTTAAACTTTTTGATCAATC